CTGGGCCTGGGCACTGTCCTTCAGCTCTTCAGCTCAAGGCTAGCGCTCTACTACTTGAGCCACAGCGCCACTTCCGGCTTTTTTCTTTTTGCTTATATGGTGCTGAGGAATTGAACCCAGGGCCTCATGCATGCAAGGCAAGCGCTCTACCACTGAGCCACCTTCCCAGCCCTGAATGTGAAAATTTTTTTATTGTGACATATACCATAAATATATTTGATGTTGGTTTATGTAATTCCATAACTGTGTACATGAAGAAATATTACTAGTTACTTTAATAACATCACATTTTCTTTACTTGGGAATAGTATCTAGAGTACTTTATACAAAGCTTAATTTTTCTCTAGATTACCAATGTGCTTTGTATAATCTTCCATTCAGATTGGATGTAGTATTATGGTAGGTTCTGTGTTTGTAACATCTTTTTTTTTTTTGGGTCCAGTCATGGGGCCTGAACTCTGGGTCTGGGCTCTGTCCCTCAGCTCTTCAGCTCAAGGCTAGCATTCTACCCCTTGAGCCACAGCACCACTTCCGGCTTTTATCTTTTTGCTTATGTGGTGCTGAGGAATCGAACCCAGTGCCTCAGGCATGCAAGGCAAGTGCTCTACCACTAAGCCACCTTCCCAGTCCCTCAGGAAACTTTTGAACTTATAAAGTGACACACTTTTCATTTTCTCATTATTTAAGGTTTGAAAGTCAACAAACAGCCCTAAGAACTTGTCCATACCTCTTACATAGAAGATAGTAAACCTATGTTTAGCATAGAAATTAATTGCTTTTAAACTTCAAGTAAAGATGAGTGTTTGAGCTCACACCTATACTCATAGCTACTCAGGAAACTGAGATTTCAGGATTGTGGTTAAAGCCAGTCCAGGAGGAAAGTCTGTGAGCCACTTATCTACAATTGATCCCAAAACTGTGGCTCAAAGTGGTAGGCTCTGGGACAATGCCCAGCCTCTGAGTCAAGCCCCAGGACCCCATAACCACCACCACCAACAAAAGAAAACTTCAAGTGAAATTCTAATCTTTATACTATTCAAAACATTATATCTGCTTTAACTATAGTAATTGTGTTCATTTTTAATAAAAATCTTGTGATTAGAGTATTATAGAGGAGTCACTTCATAGAGTACCATTATTGGATAACCTTATACAAATCATTCTGCTTTTCAGTGTTATGAATTTGGTAAAAGATCAATAAAGTACTTTATTATTTGGGTTATAAATATGTAGGTAGAAATCAGCCACCTTAAAGCAAGACAGATTGCACTACAGGATCAGTTGCAGAAACTGCAGACGGCTGCTCAGTCAGTGCATTCAGGAGCTGGCAGTGTAACAGCAACCACCACGTCATCTTCATTTGGCTATGGGATCAGTCATCATACTTCTGCATTCCATGATGATGACATGGACTTCAATGACATAATTTCATCACAACAAGAAATAAACAGATTGTCAAATGAAGTTTCAAGACTTGAATCTGAAGTTGGCCATTGGAAGCATATTGCTAAGGTAGTAAATTTGAATGCCATTTTGGGAAGTATTAAGTGAGTATTAAGTGAACTTAGGATTCAAAAGATAAAAACTGAAGTTAGATTTTTTTTGCCTTGGAGTCTTTGAGGTGTCTGTTGGGAACACCAGGACTTGCAAGCTGACACTGCTGTCTGGGATATTTTAATCTCGTGTTTGTGGGTGGGAGGGTTGAACTTGTGTGTGTATGTGTGTGGTGGTGGTGGTGGGGTTTGAACTCAGGGCCTGGGCATTGTTCCTTACCTTTTTTACTCAAGGCTGATGCTCTAACATTTGAGCCACAGCTCTACTTCCAACTTTTTGGTGATTAATTGAAGAGAGACTCATGGTTCCAAGCTGGCTTCAAAATGCAATTTTCTGATCTCAGCCTCTTGAGTAGCTAGAATTAGGCATGAGTAAGCTTTAGTGACATTAAAATGAAAATCTGACCATTGATATTTGTTAAACTATTTTATGTTATTTCTCATGTATTAGAAATTGAATTATTGAGGCTGGGAAGGTGGATCTGTGGTAGAGTGCTTGGCATGAGGCCCCGGGTTTGATTCCTCAGCACCACATAAACAGAAAAAGCCGGAAATGGCACTGTGGCTCAAGTGGTAGAAAGTTCAGGCCCCATGACTTTAAAAAAAATGAAGAAGAGGGCTGGGAAGGTGGCTCAGTGGTAGAGTGCTTGCCTTGCATGCATGAGGCCCTGGGTTCAATTCTTCAGCACCACATAAGCAAAAAAAAAAAGAAAAGCCAGAAGTGGCGCTGTGGCTCAAGTGGTAGAGCGCTAGCCTTGAGCTGAAGAGCTGAGGGACAGCTCACGACTGGACCCAAAACAAAAAAAAATGAAGAAGAAATTAAATTATTGTTATTAAATTATTTGGGACTGGAGGCTTTCCTCCAGGGGACCTTAATTTTGTCTTCCATGTTAGGTTATACATTTTAGATTTTACATTTTACTATGGAGATGTATCAGTACATCTGATACGTACATCTTTATTTGAATTTAACTTCATCAGTGCAGGAAAAGCAAAATATATCAGAGATTCTTTTTCTTCCTTCCTTCCTTCCTTCCTTCCTTCCTTCCTTCCTTCCTTCCTTCCTCCTTCCCTCCCTCCCTCCCTCCCTCCTTTCTTTCTTTTCTTTCTTTCCTTTCTTTTCTTTCTTTCCTTTCTTTCTTTCTTTTTTCTTCCTTCCTTCCTTTCTTTCTTTCTTTCTTTCTTTCTTTTTTTTCTTTCTTTCTATTGTGGAACTTGAACTTGGGGCTTGGGCTCTGTCTCTGAGTTCTTTTGCTCAAGGCTCATGCTCTACCAACTTTGAGCCATACCTCCACTTCCCATTTTTGACTGGCTAATTAGAGATAAGAGTCTCACAGGGACTTTCCTGCCCGGGCTGGCTTTGAACCTCAATCTTCAGATCTCAGCCTCCTGAGTAGGATTATAGGCATGAACGACCAGTGCCTGGCTTGAGATTATTTTCCATCTTTTTTGTGAATATAATATAGTTATGAAAAAGAAATTTTTTATTAGCTTATATTACTTATACAAGGAGGGATTTCATTTTTACATATATTTTCACATATTTACAATATATTCTTATCAATTACTTTACTGCTCTACCACTCCAAAAAGAGAAATCTTTCTTAAAATATCTACTTGTTTCCCATGTTGCTAGACATTTCTAATACTCAAAATACACTTATATATAAGACAGTTTGTTAATTTTATCTCCAAAAAAGCAGTAATTCTTAAACTTTGTAAAAACCAATCTAGAGAACTTGGTAGATTTCCTACCTTTAGATATTTTGATTTGCTTTTTTAGAAATTTGCTTTTTTGGAAATGACATTTAAGCAAATTCTGGTAATCTAAGGAATACATTTTCAGAAACAATGAAGCGCCAGGTAAGGTGGCACCCATTTGTTCTCTAGCCTCTAGGAAGTTGAGGCAGGAGGAAGGGGAGCTGGAGGCCAGCCCAGGCTGCACAGTATTCCAGGATAGTCTGAGCTGCATAGTGAAACTGTGTCTCAAAAACAAACCCAAAAAGAAACATTGATAGGGTAAAGTGTCACAAGAAAGAAATAGGTTTTTGGTATGTTCACTTAAACCTATCTTGAAATCTTAGTACATGTCAGACCTGTAATGAAATATAAAGATGGAGAGGCATCTCTGGGCCTTGGTAGGCCTGTAATCCTAACTACTCAGGAAGCTGAGATCTGAGGATCATAGTTCAAAGCCATCCAAGGCAGAAATATCAGTGAGATTCTTTTCTCCAGTTAAATCACCAAAAAAACTGGAAGTGGAGATGTGCCTCAAGTGGTAGAGCACTACCCTTGAGCCAAAAAGCTGAGGGACAGTACCCAGGCCTGAGTTCAAGCCCCAGGACCTGCTCAAAAACAAAACTAAACAACAACAACAAAAAATTGAAGAGCATAATTGGACTTGTCAGTGGGCTTAACCTTCTAGCAAGACGTAACAAAAATTAACATTTGTAATACTATATAAAATGCTACAATGTTTCCATATAAATTATCTCAGTATATTATTTATGTGAAATAGTTATTGCTTCTAGTTTTCAGGTAAGAAACTGAAGTTATTAAAAATGATATATTCATTGTCACAGTGATTGTTACGATTCAGATACACTTTTTTTTGTAGTGCTAAGGATTGAACTCAGGGCCTCACATATACTGTGCAAGTGTTCAACTATTGAGTGTCCTCCCTAGCCTCCTCCCCTCCTTTTTGAGATGGTAGTCTCATTTTGTTTATGAGATGGGGACTTGAACTTGCAATCCTTCTTCAGCCGCCAGAGTAGGAGAGATTACAGGTTTGTGTTATTGTGTCTGGCTTAGATACACATCTTCTGACTCCAAATCCCATGATCTTTCTATTATGCCATGTTTGTTTTTTTTCAGTCATGGAGCAGCTCAAGTGCTAAGATTACAGGCTACCTGTTTCCTCTGTTTTTGTCTGTCTCCTCCCCCGCTCCCCATCTCTCTCTCTCTCTCTCTCTCTCTCTCTCTCTCTTTCTCTCTTTCTCTCTCCCTCCCTCCCTCCCTCCCTTTCCTCTCTTCCCTCCCTCCCTCCTTTCCGTCCTCCCTTTCTCCCTAGAGAGGGACTTCACTGCTGGGAATCAAACCCACGACTTTTTGTGTACTGTGTACTTGTTCAACCACTAAGGTATAGCCTCAGCTCCATGTATATTTAAAAGTAGGCAGGAGAGAGGCTTTTGAATGCTTTTACCATAGATTAATGATACATGTTTCAATAATGGATAATGCTAATTGCCTTTATTATATCATGTGTCCATGCATTGAAACACCACATTATACTCCACAGATATTTATAAGGTATCAGTTTTAAAATAATTTAGGAAGTGGTGCTGTGGCTCAAGTGGTAGAGCGCTGTCCTTGAGCTGAAGAGTGCAGGGTTAGTACCCAAGCCCAGAGTTCAAGCCCCACAACCAACAAAAAAAAATTTTTTTAAGATAAATAAATATTATGCAACTTTGAGAAGAGAAAGAACACAAAAGATTATTTTATATTGAAGTCGAAATCTGGGTAAAATCATTTTGAAAAGAATTTTACTTTCTCTTTGTATTAAGAAACTTTGGATTGTAAAAATTTCCTTTTAAAAACCACTCCATTCTCTTCACATTTACATTTTCTTAAGCAGAATAAAATATTTCATTTTTTTCTGTTTTTGTTTTGAAAGCTATCATCCCCAGTTGGTTAAAAAAAGTTTTTTGTTTTTTTGTTTTTTTTTGGGGTCCGGTCATGGGGCCTGAACTCTGGGCCTGGCCGCTGTCCCTCAGCTTCAGCTCAAGGCAAGCGCTCTACCACTTGAGCCACAGCGCCACTTCCGGCTTTTTTCTTTTTGCTTATGTGGTGCTGAGGAATCGAACCCAGGGCCTCAGGCATGCAAGGCAAGCACTCTACCACTGAATCACCTTCCCAGCCCTAAAAAAAGTTTTAAATATCATATCATTTTACTACTTTGAAGAGTGCTTATTGGAAAGTATCTTTTTGTTGTTGTTGTTGACCTCTGGGCTTGGGCGGAATCACTCAGCTCTTTAGTTCAAGATAAGCACTCCACTGCTTGAGCCACAGCGCCACTTCGGTTTTCTAGTGGTTTATTGGAGAAAAGTGTCTCATGGACTTTCCTGCCCGAGCAGGCTTTGAACCGGGATCCTCAGATCTCAGCCTCCTGAGTAACTAGGATTATAGGCGTGAGCTACCAGCACTTGGCTGGAAAGTATCTTTTAATGAAGTTTGTGACTTTTTGTTTTACAGGAAAATTAATTATTTTCTAATTTTCTTTTCTAACCTTCTAAGGCTCAAGGAACACATAGTTCTGATCAAAGTGAAATCTGCAGACTGCAAAATATTATTAAGGTAAGTCACATTGTTGATTACCACTGGCTATTCTGCTCTAAAATCTGTGTAGTAAAGATAAAGCTAAATTACTTCAAAGAGCTAGTTACAATAGTGACTGTTTAGATTAAAATATTCAATTTAAGTATTTATATCACCTCTATTCTATAGATAAGTAAGTTATATAAAATAGCTTTTTTCTAAAATGATTTGGTTGTGAACATTTATTTTTAGTAATTTATATTTATATCTCATAAAATGTCTTTATTAAAACAGAATTCTGTTACTGAAGTTTCAGGGTTTTAGAATATTAAAGAATATTAAAAAGAATATTAATGGGGGGAGGCTGGGAAGGGATGTGAAGGGTAAACAAAGGAGGAGGCTGCAATGCTTGGTAAGAAATGTACACATTATCTTGCCCATGTAATTGTAACTCCTCTGTACAGTATGTTCACAAATAAAATAAAATTAAATAAAAAAGAATATTAACAAAATAAGGTGCCAGTATTATTCATTGTAAATAATTATTTTATGCTTGGGCAGAAAAGTCCATTAGACTCCATCTTCAATTAATAAGCAAAAACCCAGGCTGGAGGTGTGGCTCAAGTAGTACAGTATTAGCCATGAACAAGAAGGACAAGCAAGAACATGAAGTGCTGGGTTCAAGCCCTAGTACTGACACAAAGTGAATGAATGAATGAATGAATGAATGTCTTAGATACATATATTTATCATGGCAGTGAATTATTTAAGATTATTTTAGTTTGGAGTTTACTGATACAATGCTAGTGTGAATCCTGATTGGACTCTTTACCAGATATACTTTAGGCAAGTACTTTGGACAAGTTACTTTACATTTTCCAGCTTTTATTATATAATAAGTAAATTAGATACCATCCTGAAAACTACTTTATAGATTTGTGCTAAGATTTAAGTAAAGTTTTTAGCAGAAGGCTGGCACACATAAAGCATATAAGGTTAAAGAATAGTTTTCATTAATCTCAGGAAATGAAAGCTAATTTGTAATTTGAATTCTTGATGTTATAATTAATAACTGTTTCTGGCTAAGTAAAGCAAAACAAGATTTACTAGAATTACTAAGGGTAGACTGTGTAGAGGACTGATGGAAGGGTTGAGTGTCTTGTGTAAGGAAGAATAGGATTGGGAGCATCTCAGGAATCTAGTAGGACATGGTGGACAGACTCTTGAGAATGCTTCCTATCAAGATCTAGATTCTTGGAGAAACATTACTCATCTCAAACATTACTCATCCCACTTAACAGTTTCCAAGTCCCATGAAAACCGGCAGAAGGAAAGGCTGAGCAAGAGCGTGGCATATCAGTGATAGAACATCAGGTATAGACTAGCAAGAGATGGATTCCAGCATTGGTAGAGTATGTTGCTAAGGAAGGAGATCATGGTCACAGGTAATAAGGAAGAGAGTTTTTTTTGGGGGGGGGGCAGTGTGCAGGTCCTGGAGCTTGAACTCAGGGCTTGAGCATTGTCCCTGAGCATCCTTGCTCAAGATTAATTCTCTACCACTTGAGCCACAGCTCCACATCTGTTTTTTTGTTTTGTTTTTGGTAGTTAATTGGAGATATGAGTCTCATAGGCTTTCCTGTCTGGGCTGGCTTCAAACCACAATCCTTAGATCTCAGCCTCCCGAGTAGCTCAAATTACAATCGTGAGCCACCAGTGCCCAGCTAAGAAAAAGTATTTTTCTTCATCTTTTGCTTCATTGTTTACTTGTGATGTTCCCTTATTAAAAGTAGAAATTGATGTTTTATGTATGTATGTATGTATGTATGTATGTATGTATGTTGGTCATGGGGCTTGAACTCTGGACTAGGTGATGTTCCTGAGCTTTTCTGCTCAAGGTTTGGGCTCTACCACCTTGAGCCACTCCACCACTTTCAGTTTTCTGGTGGTTAATTGCAAATAAGAGTCTCACTGACTTCCTGATTGTGCTGGTTTTGAACTGTGATCCTTAGATTTTTGAAGTATGATCCTCAGATTCTAGACTCCTGAGTAGCTAGGATTATAGGCACAAGCCACCAGGGCCTGGCAGAAAGTTTGTTTTTAATGCCTAAGAAAACCAGGCATGGAGTCTCTCAGAACTGTCCTAATTTGGAAACTGTGATTGATGCTGATGGAAAAACTTTCAATCAGTCCTGTGTCTATATCAGTTGTGTTTAAACTCTCCATTCACTCTGAGTATTCACAGCTTTTTCTCAACAGTGGTCTCCTTAGAACCATATACCCATGGATATCAAGGGTCTATTCTATAGAGTTCTGGGAAATAGTAGGCTAGCTTATACACAATACATGTGATTAACTTTGTTCTTACATTTTAAGGAACTTAAACAGAGTCTAAGTCAGGAAATTGATGACCATCAACATGAAATGTCAGTACTGCAGAATGCTCATCAACAGAAACTGACAGAGATAAGTCGTCGACATCGAGGAGAGTTAAGTGATTATGAAGAACGAATTGAAGAACTTGAAAATCTATTACACCAAGGTGATTATTTTTTATTAATTTCACATGTTAGATGGCATAAAAATGAAATTAAAGAACAAGCTTAGCAGTCTTCACACCAGGACACTGCCATAAACTTGGACTGAGTTCTTAAGACCAGATGACTGGTTCTGCTCTTTGTCAGAAATTTGTCATACTTAGGCTCTTATTAAAGAGATTAGCATTGTATTAAATCTCTTCTTAAGCTATTTATTTGGAACTTGCCATCTGACATCCTGGATTTTCGTTTGTGCTCCAGGTGGCTCTGGAGTTACTTCAGCTGATCACTCCAAAGTCTACAAAATACAAAAATCTATTCAAGTTCTACAAACTGAAAAAGTAGAATCTACAAAAAAAATCGAAGAGCTTGAGGATAAAATAAAAGACATAACTAAAAAATTAACTTCTGCAGAAAATGACAGAGATATCTTGAAGCAAGAACAAGAACAGCTAAATGTGGAAAAGAGACAAATAATTGAACAGTGTGAAAGCTTGAAGCTGGAATGTAGTAGACTGCAGACTTCTGCTATGAGGCAGAGTGACACTGTGATGGAGGCGAGCATCCTTCCACTGAGTTCCTCAGTGGAAGAAGTGCGCAGACTACAACAAGCACTGTCTGGTATAAAATGTTTGGAACTTATTTCCAATTGGTGTTTCATTGCATACTAATTGTTTTCAGAGATAAACTCTTAAATAATTGAATACTTTGTGACAATTAAGTATTTATGGAAATGATTGTAATTTGAGTAGAATTGTTTGGCTTAGATTTAGCACCATAATTAATAGACCATAAATGATTTTTTTAGTGAAATGGCTTAAATGGCTTAATTAATCTCTTAGCCTCCTTTTCTTATTGTTTAAGTATTCACATGGAATTCAGTGATTTAGGAAGCAATCTACATTCCTGTGAAATGTTCATGTAATTCGTAGGAAGTATGGGTATATTCCTTTCATTGTACATAGAATCAGATTCTTTATGTAATTCATGAGGGCTGTGACCCTTCAGTTAGGGAATGCAACCTTCTATCTGCTGACAACCATTGTTAGCTTTTGAAATGATTTTCTGTCTTGAAGCAAAGGTCTGAGTGGCAGGAGCCATAACATTTCTATCATTTTCCATGTTCAAGATGACAGTTACTATTCAAGTATTCTGTAGTGGTTAAAAAAATAAAGTTAAAAATAAACCAAACATAAAACCCAAACAAGTATTAAGTAAAACAGACAAAAAATCAATACTCATTTATGCCAGGCAAACAATCTGGGCTTGTTAGCTGAAAAGTTGCATTTTATTTTACACGTTGTGCTCTTTTCACAGTATAAACTCTTGCTGTAAGTGCATTCATTCTCTGCTGTGAAAGTTTGCAACCCTGTGTGCTTGTGAATTGCCACTTTATGTTCCTTAACCCCACTCTGTGGCCCAGTTGTTTAGAATAAGTTCCTGATATGATCAGTTAAACTAAAGTTAAACTCAAAAGTCATCAGCTTCCCTTCCCTCTTCCTTTCCTAACCTTGTTGATAGGCAACATTTGCTAGTCTTTCAAAGCCATGGATCACTTCTTCACCAAACACATCCTATGCTATAGTTCTAAGGTTCTCTCTGGTTGCATGATATTTCAGGATTGTATCCCAGAGGAGCACCAGGGTTTCTCACATGTGCAGCACCTTAGCACCTTAGGAGCGGCCATAGGAATGGGTTCTAGACTTCTTTCTCATTTGCTTTCAATTGGAGTAGTTTGCCCTTTGTTTTTTTTGGGGGTCCAGTCGTGGGGCCTGAACTCTGGGCCTGGGCGCTGTCCCTCAGCTCTTCAGCTCAAGGCTAGCGCTCTACCACTTGAGCCACAGCGCCACTTCTGGCTTTTTTCTTTTTGCTTATGTGGTGCTGAGGAATCGAACCCAGGGCCTCTGGCTTGCAAGGCAAGCGCTCTACCACTGAGCCACCTTCCCAGCCCAGTAGTTTGCCCTTTGTAAAGTAATTCATTATATCAAGTGATCCAGTGAGTTTATTCGTTTAAAAATAGACCTGTTGCTCTAGTCTTTCTCCCCTTTCTTGGATCTCAGCCTCCTGGGTAACTAGGAGCTTGGCTTATGATCGATTTCTTAGAGCATAACATGACTGGGCTGGAATACAGCTCTGTCTCTGACTTAGTTATCATCTCTCTCTGCCTCAATTTTTTAATTTGTAGGATTGAAATAATAGTATCTTCCTTGTAAGAATTAAAATAATGAGAGTAATAAACTAGTAGGTACAAGGTTCCCTATAGAGACATTTGGTCCATAGAGTGTTAGAAAAATGTTAGCTGTTTGTATTCTCTGGTTTCCATTATTCTGTTTTAAACCATTTGGTTTTTATTCTGCAATCAGAATAAATTTCCAGAAATGCATTTTTTTTTTCTCCTGCTCTTAGTACTTTGTGGTTCAGTGAGAACTTCAAGATGAAGTCTGAACTTTTTTAGTTTGGGCATTGTGTCCCTGTCCACTTCTTCAGTTTAAATCCCACCCACCCTCCATTCTTCTTCTTCTTCCTCCTCCTCTTCTTCTTCCTTCTCATTTATATTTACTGCTTTCTGAGTGGAGTGACCCTATCTTCTAGCTAACTTAGTATATTGATGTCATATAGGTGTTAACTTCACTACTAGCTACCTGAACTGCCACTTCTGTCCACATAGCCCCATCACATGCTCTATCACATTGTATTATTATACATCATAATTGTGTTTACTTTGGGGGGGGGTTCTTTTTGTTCTTTGTTTTGCCAATACTGAGGCATGAACTCAGGGCCTGGGTTCTGTCCCTTAGCTTTTTCACTCAAGGCTTGTGTTCTACTTAATCTACAGCTCCACTTCCAGCTTTTTGTGCCAGTCCTTGGACTTAAACTCAGGGCCTAGGTTCTGTCCCTGAGCTTTTTTGCTGAAGGATAGTTCTCTACCACTTGATCCTAGAGCTAGAGATAACAGTATCACAAACTTCACTGCCTGGGCTGGCTTCTAACCTCAAATCTCAGCCTTCTTAGTAGCTAGGATTACAGGTATGAGCTACCAGCACCCAGTGTGTTAACTTGTCTTCCCCTCTGTATTGTAACAAGCTGTTTTAAAGTAATGGCTAAATTTTTCTGGCCTTACTGTACATGCTCAATTTTTGCCAAGTGAATGTTAAAATTATTTACTTCAACCAAGCTCACAGTAGTCTAGTTCTGTGTTCTTCTGCCAGAATCATTTCTGTTTATGGATCGATATGTAATACCTTCATGTAACTCACATTAGATAATTGAGAGATCATTGTATTGCTGTGATATACTTACATTTATTGCTTTCCATGTTTCTTTGTTTCCCCCCTCCAGTCTATAGACCTTACACTATTTCTTTTTTTTTTGTCGGTCTTGGGGCTTGAACTCTGGGCCTGGGCGCTGTCCCTCAGCTCTTCAGCTCAAGGCAAGCGCTCTACCACTTGAGCTACAGCGCCACTTCCGGTTTTCTGGTGGTTTATTGGAGATAGGAGTCTCACGGTCTCTCCTGCCCGGGCTGGCTTTGAACCGCGATCCTCAGATCTCAGCCTCCTGAGTAGCTAGGATTACAGGCGTCAGCCACCAGCGCCCGGCACCTTACACTATTTCTAACACAATTAATCAACTCATTTTGAAACAATTTGTGAGTACTATTTTTATTGAGGCAATATGACCAGAATACAGTGATAATTCTTACATTTTTTCAAAGAGTTGGATTTTAACATGTCTTGCTTTTTGTTTTTTTGGGTTGTCTTGGGACTTGAACCCAGCTTGGGTGCTGTCCCTGGGCTTGTTTTGCTCAAGGCTAGTACTCTAAAACTTTGAGCCACAGCTCCACTTCCACTTTTGAGGTGGTTAATTGGAGATAAGAGTCTCATGCTCATGCCTGAGCTAGCTTTTTGGTGATTCTCAGATTTCAGCTTTCTGAGTAGCTAGGATTATAGGTGTAAGCCTCCAGCACCTGGCTTTAACATGGTTTTTAACTAGAATGTTTTGAATAGTCAAACTGAAAATATAAAATATGTTTCATTCCTGTCAGTACTTGCTAATTTATGTTTATAAATATACTTTATTTTAATGGGATTTCTGAGTGTAATATGGAAGGCTATTATTAAGATATTCTAAATAATTTTAATGTCAGGTTCATTTATTGTTTTTACAGATGCTGAAAATGAAATAATGAGACTAAATAGTTTAACCCAGGTAAATTTATGTTATGTAAGAAAGCTTTGGCTTTGGTTTATTAAGAAAGTTTTAATTTACTACATTTTCTTACTATGTGTTTTCTTATAAATGAATTTGAACTTACTCTAGGAAATTTCATTTCAGATATTTTGTGTTTACTAATTAATAGCAGAAGCTAACTTTATGTGCCATAAATTGACAAAAGTTAAAAAATTACCTAGTTAAAAATTACAGATAAATCTTTTTGCAGATTAACTGGCAAATGTTATCTACGTAAAGACAGTGAAAGCAGATTGTATACAAAAATGAGGAATGCATTTTGATTTTCTTTAAGGAGATCAGGGAATTATTTCAAGTCATTTGTAAATTTAAATTTTTTCAAATACAATAAAAAAATCCTCTATAAGAATGTCTAAAATGAGTGATTCTGGATTTCTAATGGTCAGTTTTTCTACTTTTTATATATTGCTTAAGAAATACTGAGTAGTAGAAATGCACAGTTGTATAGCTAGCCTGCTGTTTGTAAACTGGAAGTTTTGTTATCTGAAATTACTGCTTTAACGTTTTTATAGGATAAGAACCTTGCTGAAGACAATCTGAAACTTAAAATGCATGTCCAAGTTTTAGAAAAAGAGAAGTCATTATTGAGTCAAGAAAAGGTAGGTGCTGTTAAAATGGAGCAGAATTAAAATGGTGTATATATTATAGTTTTTAGTGAAGGGCCAGTTTATATCAAAATGAAGTCATTAGTTATTGAGTGCTTCAGGCAAGGCTGAAGTACCTGTTCAAGGTTTGGAGCATGAGAGGCTGTCCAGGGTTCACATGCAGAGATAAATTGGTAGGCACACAGATCTGAGCAGAAAAGAGAGCAAAGGCTGTTTTGATTTCTGATGACATCCTGAGAACAGCAGGAGCATACACAGGTATGTACAATATTTGTATGCCCCAGAATATGTGCAACATCATAGAAATTTCTTACTGGTGGAAGTAAAGGACTGTTTCACTGGGAGAAATGGCATCTTTTTGTGTATGTTGGTAGCAAGGATAGACTAGGACTCTATAATGCAGAGGTGGGTATTACCCCTGGAAATAATTCCTTGTCAACGATAGGTGCTTAAATATAGGACAATTGGAAGTTAGAACTAAGTTAAAGGCCAGTATTTTAATTCAATTTAAATTATTGATTTTTATTTTTATTTTTGATACTTTAGATATTTATTTGTCTCTGTTCTTTCAAATTCAGAAAAGTTCTTTTTTCTTTTTTCTTATTTTATTGTATAGGTGATGTACAGCAGGGTTACAGTTACATAAGTAATGAATACATTTCTTTCCTCACAGTGTTATCCCCTAAATTAAGTTTTTCAAGTAATACATGCCTACTGAAATATATATTTAATGATATATACTGAATATGTTATTGCACATAGAATATCTTTGACACTATTATTGCTTGACCTCTTTCTCCATTTCCTGCCTTTTATTAGTGTATGTCTGAATATATATGATCTTTAAAAAACACAAATGTCAGAATATTGGGTTTTTTTTGCTGGTCCTGGGGCTTGAACTTGGGGCCTGGGCACTGTCCTTGAGCTTCTTCTGCTCAAGGATAGCACTCTGCCACTTGAGCCACAACGCTACTTCAGGTCTTTTCTGTTTATGTGGTACTGAGGAATTGAACCTAGGGCTTCATCCATGCTAGGCAATCACTTTACCATTAAGCCATATTCCCAACTCCATAGTTGTTTTTGGTAGTAGTTTTCCTTTAATTGGTGTGTAGTAGTAGTCCGTTGCAACTCTTCCCTGAATTGTGCTTGCTATGAGCCTGCTTATTGGTTAATAATGCTAAAAGTGGGCTGGGAATGTGGCTTAGTGGTAGAGTGCTTGCCTAGCATGCATGAAGCCCTGGGTTTGATTCTTCAGTACTAATAAACAGAAAAAGCCAGAAGTGGTACTGTGGATCAAGTGGTAGAGCAAAAGAAACTCAGGGACAGTGCCCAAGCCCTGAGTGCAGGCCCCAGGACTAGGGAAAAAAAAGATATTAATAGTCTGTTTATTTAAAGAAAATTGAGATTCTTTTTATTTACTTATGTTTCCTGGTTGTGGGGCATGAACTCAGAGTCTGAGCACTCTCCCCAAGCTTTCTCACCCAATGCTAGCACTCTACCACTTTAAGCCATTGTGCCACTTCTAGTTTTCTGTGGTTAATTGGAGATAAGAGTCTCACAGTCTTTCCTGCCCAAGCTGGCTTTGAACCACAGTCCTCAGATCAAATCCAGGCCTGCTGAATATTAGTATTACAGGCATGAGTCACTGACACCTGGTTAAATTTAATTAAGTTAACTTTTTTTCTTTTTTTTCTTATGTCAGTCATGGGGCTTAAACTCAGGGCTTGGGCACTGTCCCTGTGCTCTTTGGCTCAAGGCTACTCTATCCACTTTGAGCCACAGTGCCACTTCCTTTTGTGTGTGTGTGTGTTTCTTATATAGAGTAGATTCTATAGGATTTCTATTTTTAAAATCTCTTACCAGCAAAAGAAGGCTTTATAGTGATTCAGCCAGAAACATCATAATTAGATATTAAAATAAAGTAGAAAAATAGAGAACTGTCCCACTTCCGGGTTTTTAAAGAAAAATCTTAAATACCAACTGATTGACTATAAAATGGCATATACATCATGAATGATTTGAATGATGAGCATAATCTGTACTTGATGATAAGATGAAGTGACAAAAAAAGGAGGAAGGGAGGAAGAAAGGAGAAAAGAGAAGGGAAAAGGGGAGAGAAAGGAAGAGAAAAAAAGGAAGACAGTTCCGTATTCTAATAGAACCAAGAATAAAGTAAAAGCCTTTTATTTTCTAGTTAGTGATGATAAACTTTAGAGCGAATGTGTATTTTTATTTCATCTGTGGCTGTTGGTTACTAGATGTTAGGGAGTGGAAGTAAAGAGAGCTGGGAGATGGCACTCTTAGAAAGTCTGTATTGGGGAGGTGGGCTGAGGAAGCATCAGTAGGAATGGGGGAGGAAAGACTTCCCACTGGAAAATGTCTTACATGAATAAGCTGTCATAGAAATGTTTTACCTGGAGCTGCAAGTGAAATTGCACATGAATGAGGCTGTGGCTTGTTGAATTTTATAAATTTTATTGAGGTTTGAGGTATTGTTTAATAATATTTTCAATACAGATAGCATTTAAAATATATATCAAATTTTTATTTACTTACATATGTATGTTTAAGTGCTTAATTTTGGGTGTCTTTTCTTTAACTGATAGTGTGTGCTATTTTCCCCCTTACCATTTAAGGAAGAGCTTCAGAAAACACTTTCAAAATTGAACAGTGAATATGAAGTGATTAAAAGTACAGCTTCAAAAGATATGAATTTGGATTCAGAATTGTATGAGTTAAGACTTAACTTGGAGGCAAAGCAACAAGAGCTGAATCAGAGTATTAATGAAAAGGAAATACTGATGTCTGAATTAGAAGAATTGGACAAACAGAACCAAGAAGCTACAGAGGTAACTGTGTTAAAGATAGCCAGGCATGAAATATAACATCTCCTATTCAATTGGCTGAACACTGGATTAAATGCAGAAATGTTGGTTATAACTTTTGTGGTTTAATTAATATTTTAATTTATTGATATTCTAGTCACAGTGACTAACAAGCTTTTTCTGTAAAGTGCTAGTTAGTACAGTATTTTTTGGCTTTATAGACCTTATTATTTTAATTGTACCTATTCAACTCTGCAATTGATATATAAACAAAGGAGCATTGAGCATGGCTATGTTTCAATAAAGTTTTATTTACAGAAACAGGAAACAGGCCCATCTGGTCTTTGGGATGTGGTTTGTTGACTCATGCTCTAGTGATGAAAAGTGAAAATATGCAACAATATCATTTACTTTCTCTACTTTTTTTATCCCTAAAATGACAAAAATATCTTTTTTTTTTTTGGGTCTGGTCGTGGGGCCTAAACTCTGGGCCTGGGTGCTGTCCCTCAGCTCTTCAGCTCAAGGCTAGCGGTCTACCACTTGAGCCACAGCGCCACTTCCGGCTTTTTTCTTTTTGCTTATGTGGTGCTGGGGAATCGAACCCAGGGCCTCAGGCATGCAAGGCAAGCGCTCTACCACTGGGCCACCTTCCCAGCCCCAACAAAAATATCTTGTATAAGTAATTTTTTTAGGGGATGTAAGAACAGAAAGAAAATTGTTTTTAAAAAAGATTAGGGTTAGCTGGGCACCGGTGGCTCACTCCTGTTATCCTAACTACTCAGGAGGCTGAGATCTGAAGAGCGAGGTTCAAAACCAGCCTGGGCAGGAAAGTCCTGAGACTCTTATCTCCAATAAACCACCAGAAAACTGGAAGTGGCGCTGTGGCTAAAGTGGTAGAGCACTAGTCTTGAGCTGAAGAGCTGAAAGACAGCACCTGGACTAGAGTTCAAGCCCCAATGTGGACAAAAGAAAAAAGATTAGGGTTGTCCGGTGCTAGTGGCTCCTGCCTATACTCCTGAAGCCAACCCAGTCAGGAAACTCATATCTCCCAAAAAATCTCCAGAAGTGGAACTTTAGCTCTCAAGTGGTAAGAATGCTAGCCCTGAGCAAAAAAAAAAAAAAAAAAAGCTTGGGCTGGGAAGATGGCTCAGTGTAGAGTGCTTGCCTTGAATGCATGAGGCCCTGGGTTCTATTCCCCAGCACCACATAAGCAAAAAGAGAAAAAGCTGGAAGTGGCGCTGTGGCTCAAGTGGTAGAGCGCTAGCCTTGAGCTGAAGAGCTGAAGGACAGCGCCCAGGCCCAGAGTTCAGGCCCCATGACCGGACCCAAAAAAAAAAAAAAGCTTACAGACAGTGCCCAGGCCTTGAGCTTAACTTCCAGGACTGGCACACACACACACAAAAAAAATGTTTAGGGTTATTCTATTATTTGTAGAATTTTACAAAATGTTCTTCCAACACTAAATGAGAAATATTGTAAAATACTGTGAAAATTTTTCTTTTAGCACGTGATTTTGATAAAAGATCAGCTATCAAAACAGCAAAGTGAAGGAGACAGTATTATCAGGAAACTGAAACAAGATCTAGATGATGAAAAGAAGAGAATTCATCTACTAGAGGATGATAAAATGAACATTACGAAAGAACTAGATGAGCAGAAAGAAAAGTTAATCCACAGTGAACTGGTCCTAAATGATTTGCATTTAACCAAGCAAAAGCTTGAAAATCAAGTAGAAGATTTAATAGATCAACTAAGTAAATCACAGGAAAATAATATAAGCCTTCAGAAGGAGAACCTTGAGCTTAAGGAACACACTAGACAAAATGAAGAGGAACTGTCCCGAGTCAGGAATGAGTTAACTCTTAATCAAGATTCTAACAGTAAATTTAAGGATGACTTACTTGAAGAAAGGGAAGCCAAAATTAGAAGCTTAAAGCAAAATCTTATAGAAGTAGAACAGCTCAATGAAAATTTAAAGGAAGTTTCTTTTGAACTCAAAATGGAAAATGAAAAGTTGGTTTTAGCATGTGAGAACATAAGACATCAGTTGGAAGAATCTATTGCTTATAACAAACAAATTTCTTTGGAAAAAAGCACTATTGCAGAAACTCTGCAAAGGGAAAAAGGACAGATAGAAGCAGAATTGTGTCAGGCTGAAAAGAAGCTGCTGGAAGAGTCAAGCAAGTATAAGCAAACCATTGAGGAACTGTCAAATGCACGGAATTTGGATACCTCTGCCTTACAGTTGGAACATGAGCGTTTAATTAAGCTCACTCAAGAGAAAAATTTTGAAATAGCAGTACTCAAAACGAATATTGAACAATTGGAGACTGATCATAAAGAAACAAAGGAAATTTTGTCTTCTAGTTTAGAAGACCAGAAACAATTAGCACAACTTTTAAATGAGAAAGAAATGTTTATTAAAAAAATAAAAGAAAAAAATTCAGAACTGCAAGAAGAATTAGATAAATGTTCTCAAGCCTTAAGAAAAAATGAAACTTTAAGGCAGGCCCTAGAGGAGAAGGACAGAAATCTTGGATCCATGAAAGAAGAAAATAATCATTTACAAGAAGAGCTGGAACGGCTCAGGGAACAGCAAAGTCGAGCCATGCCTGTGGCTGAGCAAAGAGCCCTTGATAGTACCACAGAGCTAGAATCTGAAATATCACAACTAAATACAATTAAGGATCATCTTGAAGAGGAAATTAAGCATCATCAGAAGATAATTGAAGACCAAAACCAGAGTAAGATGCAACTACTTCAGTCTTTACAGGAGCAGAAGAAGGAAATAGATGAGTTTAAATACCAGCATGAACAAATGAACATCACACATAGTCAGCTCTGTTTAGAGAAAGATGAGGAAATTAAGAATTTACATAAAACAATCGAACAAATAAAAGCTCAGTTGCATGAAGAAAGACAAGACATTCAAACAGAGAATTCTGATATTTTTCAAAAAACAAAAGTTCAAAGCCTAAATATAGAAAATGGAAGTGAAAAGCATGATTTATCTAAAGCAGAAACTGAAAAATTAGTAAAAGGACTAGAAGAAAGAGAGCTGCAGATTAAACTTCTAAACGAAAAGAATATATCTTTAACTAAACAGATTGACCAGCTGTCCAAAGATGAGGTTGGTAAGCTTACTCAGATTATCCAACAGAAGGACTCGGAAATACAAGCGCTTCACGCAAGAATTTCTTCTGCTGCTTACACGCAGGATTTTGTTCACCTTCAGCAGCAGGTGCAGGCCTACACTATGGAAAGAGAACAGGTCTTTGCTGTTTTGAATGAGAAGACGAGAGAGAATAGCAATTTAAAAACAGAATATCACAAAATCATGGATATAGTTGCCGCCAAAGAAGCAGCTCTCACTAAACTGCAAGATGAGAATAAAAAGTTGTCTGCTCGATTTGAAAATAGTGGCCAAGATATGTTTAGAGAAACTGTTCAGAATTTATCACGTATCATTCGAGAAAAAGACATTGAAATAGATGCACTAAGTCAGAAATGTCAGACTTTGTTGGCAGTTTTACAAACTTCCACCCCTGGTAATGAGGTTGGAAGTGTTAATAGCAATCAATTTGAGGAGCTCCTACAAGAACGTGATAAGTTAAAACAGCAAGTAAAGAAAATGGAAGAGTGGAAACAACAGGTTATGACCACTGTCCAAAACATGCAACATGAGTCAGCCCAGCTTCAGGAAGAACTTCACCAACTTCAGGCCCAAGTTTTGGTTGACAGTGATAATAATTCTAAGCTACAAATAGATTACACTGGCCTGATCCAAAGTTATGAGCAGAATGAAACGAAACTCAAAAATTTTGGCCAGGAATTAGCTCATGTGCAGCATAGCATAGGGCAGCTTTGCAATACCAAGGATCTTCTTTTAGGGAAGCTTGATATTATGTCACCCCAGCTCTCTTCTGGCTCCTCACTTACCTCTCAGTCAGCAGAGTCTCTTAGAGCAGGTAAGTCTGCAGGATCAAGTGAGTCTTCTCAGTTGCTTCAACAAGAGATTGAAGAGTTGAGAAAGTCACTGCAGGAAAAAGATTCGATGATTAGAACTCTCCAAGAAAATAATCACAGGTTATCTGATTCCATGGCTACCTCCTCAGAGCTGGAGAGAAAAGAACACAAACAAACTGAGTCAGAACTTAAGCAATTGAAGGAGAAACAAGATGTATTACAAAACTTACTAAAGGAAAAAGACCTCTTAATCAAAGTCAAAAGTGATCAGTTACTTTCTTCAAATGAAAATTTTACTAACAAAGTCAATGAAAATGAACTTTTGAAACAGGCAGTAACAAACCTGAAAGAAAGAACATTAATTTTAGAAATGGATATTTCTAAACTAAAGGGGGAAAATGAAAAAATAGTAGAAGTATCCAGGGGAAAAGAAACAGAGTATCAAGCATTACAAGAGACTAACATGAAGTTTTCTATGATGCTTCGAGAAAAAGAGTTGGAGTGCAATTCAATGAAGGAGAAGGCTCTGGCTTTTGAGCAGTTACTGAAAGAAAAGGAGCAGGTATGTTTTAGATGGACTATAATATGCAGGAAGGTATTGAGAATGAAGGAGACTTTTTAACATATTGATACTTTCTTTGAAGAAGATTAAATTTGTTGATAGAAGTATCTCAAGATATTGTGCAATCAGCAGTTTCTCCTTCAAATTATTAGATATTTCCGTATATTTTAGAAGTAGATTATTTGATAGCATGCTAAGAAGTAAGCAAGGACATAGTAAGAAGGAATATTTTTTGTGAAATACATGTGAGTTTTCAGAGAGAATTGGAAGTCCTTTGTTCTAACTAAATTTTAGTTAGATTTCAGTAGCTGCCAGCAGTGGTGGGCATTTTAGGGATGCTTAGGTGAAAGGGAAAGCATTCTGAAATACACATTGTATCAAAGCATGATCTGTAGTAAGAAATACTTTCACATTATGACATAGTAAATACTTTGTGTGTGTGTGCATGGTGTGTGTGTGTGAGAGAGAGAGAGAGAGAGTGACAGAGAGAGAGGGAAACGTAAGTTTCAGTTACCAGGAATTACTCTTAATATATGTGATGATGCTCTTTATAAAAAAGAAAATCCAGGGGCTGGGAAGTGGCTCAGTGGTAAGAGTGCTTGCCTTGCGTGCATGAGGCCCTGGGTTCGATTCCTCAGTCTTTACAGAAACAGAAGAAGGAAATGGATGAGTTTAAATACCAGCATGAACAAATGAACATTACACTCTGTTTAGAGAAAGATGAGGAAATTAAGAATTTACACAAAACAATTGAACAAATAAAAGCTCAGTTGCTTGAAGAAAGATATTCAAACAGAGAATTCTGATATTTTTCAAAAAACGAAAATTCAAAGCCTTAATATAGAAAACGGAAGTGAGGGCTGGGAAGGTGGCTCAGTGGTAGAGCGCTTGCCTTGCATGCATGCATGAGGCCCTGGGTTCAATTCCTCAGCACCACATAAGCAAAAAGAAAAAAGCCGGAAGTGGCGCTGTGGCTCAAGTGGTAGAGCTCTAGCCTTGAGCTGAAGAGCTGAGGGACAGCGCCCAGGCCCAGAGTTCAGGCCCCACGACCAGACCCCCCCCCAAAAAAAAAAAAAAAAACGGAAGAGCATGATTTATCTAAAGCAGAAACTGAAAAATTAGTAAAAGGACTAGAAGAAAGAGAGCTGCAGATTAAACTTCTAAACGAAAAGAATATATCTGTGAACATCCCAACAGCCAAAGACTCAAAAGCGTCTTAGGATTTTGAGCTTGCCAGCATGTGGTCATACCATCTTTTTTTTTCTTTTAAATTGAAATGTTACTATTATTTCCAACTTGCATTTAAAAGGCCTGAGTGCTTTGTTCTAACTGTATTTGTACACAGAATATCTTGTCCTAAGTAGCTGAGTGGGACATGAAAAAGGTTTTGTGCTGTAGAAACTCTGGGAGGAATGGTGGGGAATGCCTGTAATCCCAGCTCCTTGGGAGGCAGAGGTAGGGAGAAGGAGGTCTGAAGCTGGCCCTGGGGAAGGAGGGAGGTGGGGTGGGGGTAAAGGCATGTGACTCTGTCTGAAAAATAAACAAAATCGAAAAAGGGTGGAGGAGCGTGGCTCAAATTGGTAGAGTGGCCGGGTGCTGGTGGCTCACACCTGTAATCCTATCTACTCTGGAAGCTGAGATCCGAGGATCCCAGTTAAAGCTGGCCTGGGAAGGAAAGTCCATGAAACTCTTATCTCCAATAAACCACCAGAAAACCAGAAGTGGCACTGTGGCTCAAGTGATAGAGCACTCACCTTGAGCTGAAGGGCTCAGGGACAGTGCCTGGGTCCAGAGTTCAGGCCCCACAACTGACAAATAATAATAATAATAATAAAGAAAATCCATTAAGCTGGCTTAAATGAATCAGGTAGTCACAACCCAAAGTTTGAAAAGTATTAAGTATGAGCAATACTTTAAACATAGTAGATTCTAACAATACTTTATACTACTTTTAGTAATAGAGATTTAGAAAAGAGATTATAAAACAATAGAATGTTCAGTGACTGCTTCTTAAAGATGATACAAGATGCAATATGATTTTGACTCATTTATCAGTTAAATTCTGTCTTTATTTGATTAAATAGATATTTTTTTCTTTTTATTTTTTTATTGTGAAAATACTGTGCTGAGGGGTTACAATTACATGGGCAAGATAATGAGTACATTTCTTATCAAGCATTGTAGCCTCCTTCTTTGTTTCCCCTTCCCATCCCTTCCCATCCTCTCCCTCCCCCCCACCTAATTCTCCCTGCTCCCCCCCACCCGCTGATTAAATAGATATTGTCAATGTTGAAGAGTTCAATCTGTCAGAGATAACTTCTTAGCTTTAATGGTACTGTTCTGTACCTCTAGTCCAGCATTTTACTGATTCATTGCAGATGGAGGCTTATGGATTTTTCTGCTCTGGTTGGCTTCCAACAATGATCCTCAGGACTCAGCCTCCTGAATGGCTAGGATCATTTAGGCATGAGTCACCAGATTGTGGCTTTTCCTGTTTTTAAAGAATGGCTGTGTTAGCTAGGCTGACCCTGAATGCCTATGTGCTCCTCCTGCTTCAGCTCCCTGAATAATTGGGATTACAAGTGCAAACCTTTTCACCAGGCACAGTTGTTTTTTTTTTTTTTTAAGAAACAAAAGTTCACATGAAAACTTAAGGTAGCACTATAGATTTCTTTGCTGTGCATATTTAAAATTGTATCAAGAATTAATTGTGAGTAGTCTACCAGTTTCTTAAGCTTTTCAGAATTCCACTCTTGTCCAAAATTCATGGCCTTACTTTGCAGTGAAGGGCTAACTTTTTTTCTGCTGTTATTAATATATTTATTGTACTTATATGGAACTCAGGAAATAAATTTTTATTATTATTTAGCAAAATAACATCCCAGAGTTGCTTTCATTTATTGTTACCAAAATACATGTGAAATGTTTTCTTTTATATCTTTTGCCAGTCAGTTGACACTTACTTTCTCTGACAGTTGTATGTGCCTGTTAAGGAGACACACATTACATACAAACTGTAACAAACAAATTTCATTGTTGTTTTGGGTTTGTGGATCCTTTATTCTACAGAGTAAATTTGGAGACATTTTTGCCTCTTGAGTTCCTTTTTATTATTATTAAACTCCTTGTAAAAACATTTTCAACTGGGCACTAGTGGCTCATGCCTGTAATCCTAGCTACTCAAGAGGCTAAGATATGAAGATTACAGTTCAAAGCCAGCCCAAGCAGAAAAGTTACTAAAAAGAGCTCAAATGGTAAAGTACTAGCCTTAAGCAAAAGAAACTTAGGGACACACTCTTGAGTTCAAACCCTGGGACTGGCACAAAAACAAAGAAAAGAAAAACATTTCCAGTAAACTTTTTCTTCTAGAACAATTGTAGCTGTGTAGAAAAATTGAGATAATGGAGAGTTCTTACTTACATGGTTAGCAATAGGTTCCTTACTGTAACATCTTACACTATATGGTACATTTGTTACAGCTAATGAACCAGTCTTGACGTATGAACCTAAAGTTCATACTTTTTTTTTAGTTTTTTATCAAAAATGTCCTATTCCAAGATGCCATGTAAGATACCACATTATATTGAATGTCTTATGTCCTTTCCTCTAGACAGTTTCTCAGATTTCTCTTGTTTTTGTTGAATTTGAGATAGTTAAACTGTAATCTAAATTTATTTAGTGAAGAAAATGCCTCTTTAAAATATATTTTTCTGCCGGGCGCTGGTGGCTCACGCCTGTAATCCTAGCTACTCAGGAGGCTGAGATCTAAGGATCTCGGTTCAAAGCCAGCCCGGGCAGGAGAGACCGTGAGACTCTTATCTCCAATAAACCACCAGAAAACTGGAAGTGGCGCTGTGGCTCAAGTGGTAGAGCACTAGCCTTGAGCTGAAGAGCTGAGGGACAGCACCCAGGCCCAGAGTTCAAGCTCCACGACCGGCAAAAAAATAAATAAATAAAATATATTTTTCTTTAAAGCTAAAGTAATTTCTTTCCAAAGGGCAAGACTGGAGAGTTAAATCAGCTTTTAAATACAGTTAAATCAATGCAGGAGAAGACAGTTACATTTCAGCAGGAGAGAGACCAAGTCACATTGGCCCTGAAACAGAAGCAGATGGAAAACAGCACCCTCCAGAATGAGGTATGCTTTCACTTTAAAGGAGCAATGTGTGAACCAATGTATTAATCATTGTCAGTTTAAAATTGAATGTATCTCTTGATTCCTTCTTTCAATGTGCTGTGGTAGAATTTTGATTTCTCTGGTGTATTTTATTTAGTTTTAAAAAGTGAAAAACAGCATATCTTGGATATAAGAAAAAATTGTCACCCAGAGAGTATGACAAAGTGTGACATACAGAGGGGCCAGTACTTTTGTATAGTTCTGTTTTTCATGTCTCCAACAAATGAGGTTTTACAAAGCAGAGCTTCCAGGTGGATATTGCAGATGATCTCAGGGGAATTTTTCCCAACATAGGTACATTCTGGCAATATGAGGCATTAGCATGCCATTTGTAAACTTCAATAGTGTGAAAACATTTGATAACAAAGTAGTTTGTTGGGGATAGAAGGTGGAGCATTATTAGGAAGAAAAATAAAACAGTGGCCTCTACCTAGGTTCAACACTTGCGAGACAAAGAATTACGATTAAACCAGGAGCTACAGAGATTACGTAATCATCTTTTAGAATCAGAAGATTCTTATACCCGGGAAGCTTTGGCTGCAGAAGACAGAGAAGTTAAACTAAGAAAGAAGGTCACAGCCTTGGAGGAAAAGCTAGTCTCATCTTCTAATGCAATGGAAAACGCAAGGTAACTTTTTGATTCTTCTTTTCTGCATTAACTTCACTTGAGCATTTGAGTATAAGTCTCAGTAAGTATTTTCATGTATTAGTTCATTTTCATGAAATTAATCTTAGTTTTATAGTTGAGGAAACTGAAGGCAAAGAGACATAAAAGTTGCCCCAGGTCAGGTACACAGTGTATGTAGAGGGAGCCCCACGTCAGGTACACAGTGTATGTAGAGGGAGCCCCAGGTCAGGTACACCGTGTATGTAAAGGGAGTCACACATATTTCTAATCTTAAGCAGATCTGGCATTCAGATTCTCTTTCTCTCAACCACCTAGATAATTGCAATTGTCTGTTTTGTGGGAAAATGACAAGTGACTGATTAGTTATCCAGTCACCAGAGAACTAATTTATGTGTTTTTATTTTCCATCAAGTGATTGAAGGTTGAGTTGGATATGGGAATTAGAATAGGACAGTACAGGGCTGGGAAGGTGGCTCAGTGGTAGAGTGCTTGCCTTGCCTGAGGCCCTGGGTTCGATTCCTCAGCACCACATAAGCAACAAGAAAAAAGCTGGAAGTGGAACTGTGGCTCAAGTGGTAGAGCACTAGCCATGAGCTGAAGAGCTGAGGGACAGCGCCCAGCCCCAGAGTTCAGGCCCCACAACCAGACCCAAAAAAAAAAAAAGAATAGGACAGTACAGTGCACCAATACAGGGTGAAGACCTGGGTCAGCATGGAGAATGAACTATTGGGCCCTGTCCCTCAGATCTTCAGCTCAAGGCTAGCCCTCTACCACTTGAGCCACAGCGCCACTTCCTGTTTTTTCTGCGTATGTGGTGCTGAAGAATCAAACCTAGGGCTTCAATGCATGCAAGACAAGCACTCTACCACTGAGCCACCTTCCCAGACCCTATATAGTCTTTTAATTATTATTTCACTCAATATCAAATGTTGATCTTTTTAAGCTTACTTTAGTTATACAGTACGTGAAATGTGATTTCATTTATCCTTGCATTTTGTTTTTTTTTAATTCTGCTTTTTTAAAAATAGTCTTGACTCATGAGTTGGTTTTGGTTACCTACCACCTTATCCTTATTAGAAAAATATACTTTTTATTTCAGGAAAATCACAAGTTTCCTTTATGGCCAGGGATGGTAACTGTTTCCTCATATGTTTATTTGCCATTTTTTCCTCCTTTTCTGAGATGTCTCTCTTTAGCTTCTTTTCTCTTTTATTAATTGATTTATTGGTTGTTGGTTTATTTTTGGAGGGATACTTTCTTTGTCAGATATTTTGCTGATAAAGATGCTCTTCCATTCTGTTGGCTGTCTTTCTAGTTTAGTAACTATGTCCTTTGTTGTACAGAAACTTTTTATTTTTATTTATTTTTATTTTTTGTTCCCAGTCCTGGGGCTTGAACTCAAGGCCCCAGGCACTGTCACTGAGCTTCTTTTGCTCAAGGCTAGCACTCTACCACTTGAGACACAATCCCACTTCCGGCTCTTTCTGTTTATGTGGTACTGAGGAATTGAACCCAGGACTTTAGGTTAGGGAATCACTGTACCACTAAGCCACATTCCCAGCCCCTGAAACTTTATTTTGATTTAATCCCATTTGAAAGTATCTCTCCTATTTGCTGTACTCCTGGGACTCTTTAAAAAAAAGTTCCTATGCCTGTAAGTGCTGATGTTTGTCCTACTCCATCTTGCAGTAGTTTCAAAGTTTCAGGCCTTACATTGAAATATTTGATCCACTTTGACTTGAGTATATGGTGTAAAATAGGGATCCAATTTTAGTTTTGCCCAATTTTTCCAATACCAATTATTGAAGCAGCTGTCTTTTTTCCACTGTATATTTTTTATTCCCTTGTCAAATATCAGATACTGTTTAAGTATATAACTATTTCTGGGTCTTCTAGTCTGTTCCATTGATATTCCAGCCTGTTTTTCTGCCAGTACCAAGATGTTTTTGTTATTATAGCTCTGTAGTAGAGTTTGAGGTTTGGATTGTGCTACCACCAACATTGCTTTTTTGCCTAAACTGCTTTGGCTCAGAATAACATTTTATTAAGTAGGGTTATAATCTAGTAATTCCTTTCTTCAGAAAAAAATGTCTTCCATTAGCTGGGTGCCAGTGGCTCACACCTGTAATCCTAACTACTCAGGAGGCTGAGATCTGAGGATCGCAGTTCAAAGCCAGCCCAAGCAGGAAAGTCCATGAGACTCTTATCTCCAATAAAGCACTAGAAATCCGGAAGTGGCGCTGTGACTCAAGCAGTAGAGTGCTAGCCTTGAGCTGAAGAGCTGAGGGACAGTGCCAAGCCCAGAGTTCAAGTCCCATGACCAACAAAAAATAAATAAATAAAAATAAATGTCTTCCATTAAGCTACCTACCTTGTCTTTACTTCATAACTATCATCTACATATAGCCCAACCTTATCACTCAGCTCCTCAGAGCTACTTTATTTCTATTTATTTTTCTAATTTTTCTTTTCATGTTGTTCTGCCTGAAAAGTGCACCTGTTTTTCTGTAACTCCTACTCATTCTTCCGATTTTCTCTTTTGTTTTGTTGTTTTTGATCATGGGGCTTGAACTCTGAGTCTGGGCGCTGTCCCTCAGCTCTTCAGCTGAAGGTTAGCGGTCTACCTTGAGCCACAGTGCCACTTCCATTTTCTGTTGGTTTTATTGCCTGGGCTGGCTTTGAACCATGACCCCCAGATCTCAGCCTCCTGAGTAGCTACGATTACAGGCTTGAGCCACCAGTGCCTGACCCTGTTTTCTTCACTTAGAACTCTACTTCTTATATCCCTTATATCCAAAACTAAACCCCGTTGGGATGTCTTTCTTTTGAACTTGGATAACACTTGGGGTCTTGGATAGGGCATCTTATGTTTTAGTCTAAATAACAAATAATTACTGACTTGTTGCATACTGTGTTCCCAATAAATTTTAAGTTTTCATGGGAGTACGAATGATGTCATTGTGTACCCTTCCAATATATAAATATATATATATATATAAATAGATTACATAAAGTTTAATTGATATTCAGTGAATAGTTTACACCAAATCAGTAAACTAGATTTTGCTTTTTTGAGCCCTTGCTTAAGAAAGGAGCATCTAGTATTAACCTTTTTTTTTTTTTTTTTTTTTGGTTGGTTGGTTGGTTGCGGGCCTTAAACTCTGGGCTTAGGCGCTGTCCCTGACCTCTTTTTTTGCTCAAGGCTAACATTCTACCACTTGAGCTACTATGCCATATCCAATTTTCTGGTGGTTAATTGATGATATGAGTCTTCTGGACTTTTTGCTGCCTGGGCTGGCTTCAAACTGCAGTCCTCAGATCTCAGCCTTCTGAGTAGCTTGGATTACAGGTTTGAGCCACCAGTGCCTGGCTTGTATTAACTTTTTGAGTGCAGAACTTATATTTTGGGCTTTTTTCCAGAGCCAGTATGATCATGGACACCTAGCTGCATGACAGCTCTGAAGAAAGGGAGGTGATGCTCTCCAATGCTCTAGAGTTGGGGTTCACCACCCTTTCCAGCTCCATGCTGGTGGTGAGCCCCACAGAGCAGCCTTTGGAAAATGAAGCTGTCACCCCAGAGTTCACCAACTGGAACCTTCCAAATATGGAGCTCTTGGCAGTAGCCAGAAAGAAGGAGGTTGGAGGACTGTGTGGCCCTCCTCAGAGTTCTGGCACAGGATCATGTAGAAGGGGTTGTTGAGCATCGAAATGGCCAGGTTGTGGTTTCGGCATCCATCCGGGAATGGGCTATTAAAAAGCACATTTACAACTCCATACACATGGTGGCTTGCAAGAATATAGGACAAGTGCTGGCTGCTTGGAGGCAGACATCAATTTCATGGTCTACCAATCAACCCCATGGAAAAGCAACCTCAGATTCAATGAAATGCCTACAGAATGCTATGACAGAAAGTGGTGGTACTGTAGGAGCTTCAGAGAATCTATGAGTTAAAAGAAGCATTGTTTTGGATATGTTACTGCAGCCTTGGAAAGAAAGCATCTAGAAGAAGAACCAGCTTGGAACAGAATAATAATGTAACAGAGGAAGATTATTTGTAGTTAGGGCTTCTTTGTCTCCTTTATCTGTGTATGGTTCTAGTGTCTTTTTTTTCTTTTTTTTTCATGGGGCCTGAACTCTGGGCCTGAGCACTGTCCCTCAGCTATTTAGCTCTTTAGCTCTGAGGAATCTACCCAGGGCCTTATACATGCAAGGCAAGCACTCTACCACTGAGCCACCTTCCCAGCCGCAAGTGTCATTTTAAATCAGGGCTTATTTTTTCCCCTTTTTGGACCTATCAAGTGTTCATAGATACTTAACCTATCTCATTAATTAAGGAAAATGATCATCAATGATGGGTTAACTATTAGAAGGCAGAGTTGGGGCTGGAAATGTGGCTTAGTGGTAGAGTGGTTGTTTGGCATACATGAAGCCCTGGATTCAATTCCGCAGTACCACATAAACAGAAAAGCTAGAAGTGACACTGTGTTTCAGGTGGTAGAGTGCTAGCCTTAGGCAAAAGAAAGCTCAGGGATAATGCCCAGGCCCTGAATTCAAGCTCCAGGACTGGTGGGGGGGGGGGGAGGGGAAAGGCTAGTGTAGAAGGCAGCGTTGTTTGTAAGTTACAAATAAAATATATTATTGTTAACTTTTTTTTTAATTTTGGTCAGTCGTGGGGCTTGAACTCTGGGTCTAGGCACTGTCCCTGAGCTCTTCAGCCCAAGGCTAGCACTCTACCACTTAAGCCACAGTGCCATTTCTGGTTTTCTGCTTTTTTATTGGAGATAGAGTCTCATGGACTTTACTGCCCAGGTTGACTGTGAACTGTGATCCTCATATCTCAGCCTCCTGAGTAGCTAGGATTACAGGCGTGAGCCACCATCGCCTGGCTTATTATTAACTCTTAAAAAAAACTCATATTGTTCTTAAATTCATGTTTTGATTTGCTAACTTAACTGGAACAAAATCCAGGAACATTTGGAGACAGAATTCAAGTCTCATCAACACAGCTCTTTCCACTAGAGGGTGCTATTAGATAAAGTGTCTTCATAATGAGTTGCTCTTAATAAGTTTCAATGGCTGCTCTGAAAGAATTTAGCTGGATATCATCAGATCCCATGAAGATCATTGCAATAATTTGAATGTAATTGCACATTGGGACACATTATTCTAATGACACCTGGATAGATGCTGTATAAATAAGTCTCTTAGAGACCTCTGGGTCCTTAGGTGGGGCAAGAGTAGGATTTAGTCTATCGAAGGTAGGCAGAAAGATGTTAGTGAAAGGTGATTAATTAGGGTAGTTAGTAGGATAGCCTTTGGGAGTTTGGGAATTCACCATAACTGCAAGTGTCAAAAGCAGTGGAGATTCAGAATCCATTCTTGATTAGATTAAAAGCTAACAAAATGAGTTCAAAAGATCTTATGATAATTATCTTATGATAATTGTATTTATACCAGAAACACAAAAGGTATAAGCTATTTGTGGGGAAAAAATTACTCTTTTGTTGATATTTGTTGTATAGGATATTTCTTAGACTTAAAAGGACTGTCATTTTTTCAAAGTCACTTGGACAGAATGGTGATTAACAGAAGAAAAGAGAACAAAAATCGGAGGAACTCTTTGAGCTTGTCTGAAATCTAACGTGAATTTAATGCAATAAACTAGTGAAAGTGAAATTCATAGAGACAAATCGATGGATATGAGAAAGAAAGGGAAGTTACTGTATAATAGCTATCGTGTTTCAGTTTGGGAAGAGGAAAACTGTCTAGGTAGATAGATAGGGGGAATGATTACATAGCAGTGTGAGTTAAAGTTATTTAAATATGAAAAGATGCTTTATCTTGTTAAAATACATAAATACTTTGATTTTTGAATTTAGGGCAGTAAGATGTAGGGAACATGTTTCTTGTTAAAATAGCTAAATAGATAGCAGCAATTTGATCTTACTCTCTTTATTTGAAGTCATCAGGCCAATGTGCAAGTAGAATCCTTGCAAGAACAGTTGAACATGGTCTCTAAGCAAAGAGATGAAACTGCGTTGCAGCTTTCTGTCTCTCGGGAACAAGTAAAGCAATATGCTACATCATTAGCCAATCTGCAGATGGTCCTAGAACACTTCCAACAAGGTAAGTTGTTTGACTGATTTTTCAGTGAAGAAAAATTGTAGTTAGTGGTGATTTTTCCTTATACAGGTTTCTTATTGAAGGGAGAGAGGTTAATAACTATCAGTTAATCTAGGCTCCTTTTACAAGTGAAACTCAAATATAAAGTACATTTAGTACCTAAAAGTTTTAGTATCTTATAACTAGTTGTGGTGAAAGTTGAGGAATTATAAAGGTAACATGAAGAAGGATGATTGTATGATAAGAGAATACAAAGAAGAGAGCGATGTATATATAGAAAACAGGGCCTTGCACTTGCTAGGCAGGCACTTGAGCATGTATGCCATACCCCAATGCTTTTTGATGGGTTATTTTTTCAATAGGATTGCACATTTTTGTCTGGGGCCAGTCTCAGACTGTAGTCCTCTTACCTCGTCTTCCCTCATATACTGTCATACCTGACTTACTGACCATAATGGGGTTTTTGTATATTTCCCCACACATATACTGGCCTCAAACTGTGATCTTCAAACTTCTGACCGTCACTTCCTGAGTAGCTGAGCAGCATGAACCACCACATCTGAATTGAATTTTTTTTCTCCAGGACTAGAAATTGAACTCAGAGTCTGATGCTTTTGCTCACAGTCTGGTGTTCTACTGCTTAAACCCCACCTCTAGATCCTTGAATTTATTTATTATTATTTAGTGCTGTTACTTGGGATTGAACTCAGGGCCTACCTGTCTCATCTTTGTCATTCAAGTTTGGCTTGCTATGACTTGAGCCTTTTGGTGGTTAATTGGAGATAAGGGACTGTTCTGCCTGAACTGGCTTTGTGATCTTCAGCTCTCAGCGTCCTGAGTAGCTAGGATTATAGGCATGAGCCATTGGCTTAACCTGGATTTTAAACACAAGAATTCTTTAGGTCTGCTTTATAATGCAATTACTAGAACAGGTATATATACAAAGTTGGATTGAGGCTATAGAGAGCATTGCTAAAGAGGAACTATTTGAATAGAGTTATAAAGGGAGAAAAGAATCTCCAAGGTAGATAAAATGGAGAAGGGCCTAGGCAGAGGAAATACTGACCTCATTACTTTTGTTCCACTTAACATGATCACTAAAGCAATATATGCTTTGTTTTTCTTGTTGAACCATTTGAACTATTTTAGGCATATTTTGGGTTTTTTGTTTGTTTGTTTGTTTTTGTTGTTGTTGGGGTTTTTTTGGTCATAGGGCTTGAACTCTGGGCTTGGGCGCTGTTCCTGCACTCTTCAGCTCAAGGCGAGCGCTCTACCACTCCAGTAAACTAGTAGTTTACTGGAGATGAGTCTCATGGACTTTCCTGCCTGGGCTGGCTTTGAACTGTGATCCTCAGATCTCAGCCTCCTGAGTAGCTAGGATTACAGGCGTGAGCCACTGGCACCTGGTGACATATTTTGTTTTATTATGTGCCAGTATTGGGGCCTTATGTTGTTCAGTGTTTTTTGTTTTTTGGGTTTTTTTGTTTTTGTTTTTGTTTTTGTCGGTTGTGGGGCTTGAACTCTGGGCTTGGGCGCTGTCCCTGTGCTCTTCAGCTCAAGGCAGGCGCTCTACCGAGTGAGCCACAGTGCCACTTCTGGTTTTCTAGTGGTTTATTGGAGATGAGTCTCATGGACTTTCCTGCCTGGGCTGGTTTTGAACTGAGATCCTCAGATCTCAGCCTCCTGAGTAGCTAGGATTACAGGTGTGAGCCACCAGCTCCCGGCTGTTTTGTTGTTTGTTTTTTATGCTGTTCTGGGCACTATCCCTGAGCTTTTTTTAGGCTAATACTCTACCACTTGAGCCACGGCTTCACTTCTGGCTTTTTTGGTAGTTAATTGGTGATAGTCTCACAGACTTTCCTGCCTGGGCTGGCTTAGAACCTCAATCCTCAGTTCTCAGCCTCCAGAGTAGCTAGGATTACAGGCGTGAGCCATTGGCACCTCCTTTCTTCAGTAGTTTGTAATTACAGTTTTATCATACATTTGTAAAATACTAACATAACTTTCCTTTCTCATTAGAGGAAAAAGCTATGTATTCTGCTGAATTAGAAAAGCAAAAACAGCTTATAACAGAATGGAAAAAAAAGGCAGAAAATCTGGAAGGAAAAGTGTTATCATTGCAGGTAGGCCAAAACAGTTTTCTGTTATAAATTGTGTTATTCATGATACGACTGCTGTTAGGATTTTGTCTTGGCAATAATCTTAGGGAGCATTCATTTAGTGAATATTGTGAGAGTGGTGACTCTGTCCAGCCTGCTAAATGTAACCATAAATAAAACACTCAGATTCTCCTTAGCTGAGTGGAAATTTAGAGTAGGCATAACAAATATGGTATGAAAGGGCATTTGAAAGGATATTTATTGGAAGATGGCAAAGTTTGTTTTTTTTTTTTCTTTTTTGGGTCCGGTCATGGGGCCTGAACTCTGGGCCTGGGCGCTGTCCCTCAGCTCTTCAGCTCAAGGCTAGCGCTCTACCACTTGAGCCACAGCGTCACTTCCGGCTTTTTTTCTTTTTGCTTATATGGTGCTGAGGAATTGAACCCAGGGCCTCAGGCATGCAAGGCAAGCACACTACCACTGAGCCACCTCCCCAGCCCCGGCAAAGTTTTTTTTCTAATACAGTTGTACTAATTTACTCCTACCAGCAATGCATCCTGTCAACACTTTATGCTTTGATAGTTAACATCATCATCATTATCTGTGCTTTGCACATAGTAGGCCAACACTTTTAACACTTGAGCCTTGCCCTCAAATATTTTGTTTGTGCTTTGGTTTTGAGATAGTTTTACTAACTTTGCCTGGGCTAGTCTTGAACTTGAGATCTTCCTACCTCTGCCCTCTAGGTAGGTAGGATTACAAGTGTGCATCACTACTCTCAGCTCAAATTTTTAAAGTTTTTGCCAAACTTGTACCACTAAGAAGGCTTATTAGTCTGTTTTATGCTGCTTTTTATAGAATATCACAGACTGGATAATATAAATAAATAAAATGCTTTAATAGTTTTGGGGACTTCGAAGTCCATGATAGACAGCAAGAAGGCCTTATTGCTGCATCATTACTTGGCTGAATGGCAAAAAGAGGCCAAGAAGAGAGCGACAGACAGCAAGAGGGAGCTGAACTTGTCCTTTTATAAGAAACTAACTCCTGTTAGGTGCCAGTGACTTGTGCAGTAATTTGTGCCTGTAATCCTAGATACTCAGGAGGCTGAGATCTGAGGATCACAGTTCAAAGCCAGCCTGGGCAGGAGAGACCATGAGACTCTTAGCTCCAATAAACCACCAGAAAATCAGAAGTGGCACTGTGGCTCAAGTGGTAGAGCACTAACCTTGAGCTGAAGAGCTGAGGGACAACACCCAGGCCTAGAGTTCAAGCCCCATGACTGACAAAAAAAAAAAGCCAGAAGTGGAACTACAGATCAAGTGGTAGAGCACTAGCATTGAGCAAAAAAGCTGAGGGATAGTGACCAGGCCTAGAGTTCAAGCCTTAGGACTGGCCTGGCGCGCGCGTACACACTCTCTCTCTCTGTTTCTCTCTCTCTCTCCCCCTCTCTCCCTCTTCTCTCTCCTTTCTTTCTCCTCTCTCCTATCTGTTCCCCAGGGACATAGTCCCACCACTGCTCAAACATTAGACCCTCCCTTATTGGAACTCATGAATTTTAGAGGACACATTCCAATCATAACAGAACTATATCTTCTTGTAGTATTCCCTGATTATTAATGTAATCAAGCATCTTTTAATATGCTTATTGATCACTTATGCTTACTCATCAGAGTTCATTAATACATTTTCCCATGCTTTCACTTGTGTCCCCTGGTTCTAAAATATCTTCTCTGAAACTGCCTGAAGTTCAGATCTTTTTATTTAAGGGGACAGGGGCAGTATTGGGGCATAAATTCCAGAACCTTGTGCTTGCTCTGTGGGTGCTCTACCACTTGAGCCTTTCCCCTAGACCTTTTTGTTTTAGTTATTTTTCAGATAGGATCTCACATTTCTACCTGTAACATAATCCTCCTGTTTATGCTTCCCACATATTTGATATGACAGGTGTGTGCCACCATGCCTAGCGTTTTATTGTTAGACATGGAGTCTTTTGCCTGGACTAGCTTCAAACCACAATCCTTCCAAGTATACAGGAATACAGGCATGAGCCACTGTGCCTGGCTCAAATCTTTTAAAGTAGTTTTTTTAAATTTAAAATATAATATACTGTTTAAAAATCAGAAGGAAAAGGTTGAAATTAATAAAGGTAAAACTGAAGCTAATGAAATGAAAACCAAACAAATGATAGAAAAAAAAGAAAAATATAAATGATTTTCAAAAAGCATTAGTGTAATTTTTCTTTTTTGTTTTGTTTTCTTATCGATTGTGGGGCTTGAACTCTGGGCCTGGGTGCTGTCCCTCAGCTCTTCAGCTCAAGGCTAAGGTTCTACCACTTAGAGCCACAGTGCCACTTCCGGTTTTCTGGTGGTTAATTGGAGATAAGAGGCTCATGAACTTTCCTGGCTCAGGTTAGCTTTGAACCACAATCCTCAAATCTCAGTCTCCTGGGAAGCTAGGATTAGAGGCGTGAGCCGCCAGTGCCCAGGCATTAGTATAGTTTTAACTTTTAATAATCTTTTTTTTTTTTTTTTTGGGTCTGGTCGTGGGGCCTGAACTCTGGGCCTAGGTGCTGTCCCTCAGCTCTTCAGCTCAAGGCTAGTGCTCTACCACTTGAGCCACAGCGCCACTTCCGGCTTTTTTCTTTTTGCTTATGTGGTGCTGAGGAATCGAACCCAGGGCCTCATGCATGCAAGGCAAGCACTCTACCACTGAGCCACCTTCCCAGCCCCTTTTAATAATCTTATAAACTGTAAGATTTAAAAAGTAATTTGAAGCCAGGTACCCTTAGCTCATGCCTATAATCATAGCTACTCAGGAGGCTGAGATCTGAGGATCACAGTCAAAGTCAACCTGGGCCAGGAAAGTCCAATTAACCACCAGAAAACCGGAAATGGCACTGTGGCTCAAAGTGGTAGAACATTAGCCTTGAGCTGAAGAGTTGAGGGACAGCGCTCTGGCCAGAGTTCAAGCCCCACAACCAACAAAAAAAAAAGTAAATGAAAGTAAATTTCTTTTACTTCAAATTTAGTTTTGTGGATTTTGAATAGTACATTTTTATTGAAATGTTTTTATTTCATTCCCTCTGCATATGTTAGAACTCAACCTGTGTGTGCATATATACATAAATTTATATGTCCAATACATACAGACACACACTTGTGAGAGGTTTAAGGATTTTTTTTGCCAGTTCTTGGGCTTGAATTCAGGGCCTGGGCTCTGTCCCTGGGCTTCTTTTGCTCAAGGTTGGTTCCTACTGCTTTAGCCACAGCACCACTTCTGGCTTTTTCTGAGTATTTTATTGTAGATTCTGCCTGGGATGGCTTCTGCAATCTTCAGATCTCAGCTTCCTGAGTGGCTAGGATTATAGACATGAACCATCAGCCAAGGAATTGACCATAGGATGCAGAGACTGGCTAGGCAAATCTACAGTGAAATTGGGAAGGGCACATCAAAAGCAGGATAGAACTCAGGCTGTTGTTCACAGGCAGGAAGGAAAGTCACAGCAGCCTAGATTCTAGGCAGAAGCTACTGTCCTTAAAAGGAATTTTTTGTCTTTTTGTAAGGGAGGGCAAATCTCTTCTTTTAAGAACTTCCAGCTGGTCCAGTCAGGCCACAGATTATCCCAGATCATTGTGCCTTCCTTATACTTATCTTCTTAGCAATGTCTACATTATTGCCTATCTAAGATAACACATCTATAAGCTATCACTCTGAAATTTTGGCCTGAAATTTTAATGGGTAAGTTATCTAGAATAACCAAGAAAATTATAAGAAGGAATAATGTTGAGGAGGGACTTGTCTATAGTATGTCTAAATAGAGCTATTAACGAATGAAACATTGGGTCTATTAGTGAATAGAAGGAGCCATAAATAAGGCCCGTGATACCTGAGAATTTAAAACTAAACCTTAAACTAAAATAATTTAACTTAATGATAAAAAAAGATAGTTTAATAAATGATATTGGCCAACTATTCATAAAGAAGGAAACAAAACTGGACTTGATAGTATACCATATTCAGAAATGGATTCCAGTTGTGTTAAAGCAAGGATTCTCAGCTGGGAGTACATGTTGACTATCTGGAAATATTTTTGACTGCTACTGTGACTGAGAGACCCTTGACATTTAGTGGGCTAGAAACTGTCAAAAGCATCCCCACTGAGAAAGACTAAAGATTTTCATGCAAAAATACAAATGTCTTAACCGGGCACCGGTAGCTCAGGCCTGTCATCCTAGCTACTCAGGAAGCTGAGATCTGAGGATCTTGGTTCAAAGCCAGCCCGGGCAGGAAAGTCCGTGAAACTCTTATCTCCAATAAACCACCAGAAAAACCGGAAGTGGCGCTGTTGCTCAAGTGGTAGAGCGCTAGCCTTAAGCTGAAGAGCTGAGGGACAATACTCAGGCCCAGAGTTCAAGTCCCATGACCGACCAAAAAAATAAAAATACAAATGTCTTGCAGTAAGATCTAAAAGACTTCATGTACATTCTTAGGGGCAAGGAGGATCCTAACAGATTAAACTCACGATGCTATAAAATCAGAGTAGGACATTTTTGACTATATATCATTCAATGGTGTTTAAATGGCAAAAAAAATAGTATAGTCAGTAGAAAAATGCATATCTGATAAACAGTGTTTGTTTATTGTAGATGACAAAGGGTTCTTATGTGGAAACAAGGCATTCTTACAATCTGACAAGAGAGACAGCTCAGTAGACACAAACTGCCAGAGTATACAAAGAGGTTTTCATGTAAGAGCAGATCCAGCTGTCTGTAACAACAGACAAAAATACTCAAGTGCAATAGTAGTCAGGGAAATAAAATTCAAGCAGTAAAGTCATAATGAAACGTCACTCTATGTATGTTAGACTTGTAATACTTAAAAGAGCAAGAACATTTGTTGCTATATTTCTTGACTATCTTTTTTGTTTTACATCTTATTCTTTTTTTTTTACTTTGTCATATTGTCTTTTAGTAGCATTTTCTTTATTAAAAAGGCAATGTTTGTTGAGAAAGGCTGAGGGTTCTGTCTTTGATAACTTTTAGTTGTATAGACTTGCCCCAGGTCACAGAGATATGGCTTCATTAGGTAAGCTGCAACATGTCTTCTTAGCCCATGGGGTTTAGAACAGTTTTTGCATGCTGAATTTTTAATGAACTTCTCTCCCTTAGGAACGTTTGGATGAAGCAAATGCTGCACTGGATTCAGCATCAAGACTTACAGAGCAGTTAGATCTAAAGGAAGAGCAGCTTGAAGAACTTAAAAAACAAAGTAGGTTTTCCCCCCTTTTCCTTTGTTTCTAGTTGAACTGTAGTCTTCTATTATGTGTTGGTACAGCTGAGTGAGACCAACATTGTTGGTGGGTAACTTCCATTTCTACCATAGATACTGTATCTATCATACATATTCTCAAATAAAAGAGTAACTTTGTGAAACAGACATCTGGGTATAAGTAACTAGATTGTTGATTGCAGATGAGGCTTTACACCTAGGCACTTGTCATGTTTTGGTTTGGTTTTGGCACTCTGTCTTTCCCTAAAGTGAGCTTTGCATTTAGATTATCTGATGGGCCCCAGATTACCAGATAATTCATAGTGCTTTGTTGTGCCTAATAGCTGACAGTGAAGACATGTACTCATTTAGTCTCTGACTTAGTGATAATCAGGAAGTTGAAGCTGTTCTGGGGCTGTATTTAGTAGGCAACGGTTTAAGACAATTGTAATGGTGATAATGGAGCTTAGAAATGCATAAGGCTTAGGGGTCTATGTTGCCATAGCAGTAACAGGAAATATAATTAAGAAATTAGAAAATGCATGCCATCTATCATAAAATAGAAATTAGAAGGGTATAGAACAGAAGAAATACTGTTAAAACAGGATTAGTGACTTGGTCACTACGGTGGCCAGCCATTGAAGCAAACCATTGGAGCATGGAGAGTAAAGCACAAACCTACAGCTTGGCCTAATTCCAAGAGACAGAAAATGGAAGTGTATTAGGAATATAACAAAGAAATAAAACTAAGACAAATGTGGTGTAATTAGCCTCAAAATAATTCTAAAAGGCTTCTGCTTTGTAAGAATTGCCTACCTAGGAAATCTAATCTAGAGGAGGACCTGGAAATGAGCAGTGAGGAAATAATACGTACTAAGTATATATTATAGACAGTTGACATAACATAGGCTGTATTAATTAGTCTTTTCCTTTTACATTTGCCTCAATTCCAAAGTAAAGAGTATTCTTTTTATAGGTTAACGAAATTGAGATTTAACACTCATCTCTAGAGTACATGGTCTTGCCATGTCAAGAAAAGAATTGTCTTTTGTTCTAGAAAGCTACATCTTTGAAAGTATGGTAGTATCCTCTATACTGTGCCTTCACTGTCCAAAAGGCTGCTCTAACAAGATGCAGCAATTATTGGCAAAATAATGTAGTTAGATCTCAGGCCAGTACAACTACAGTACAACTGAAAGTGTTAGCTAAAGATTTCATGTCTTGGGGCTTAGCTAGAGTAATGAAAGTATCCTTGGTCTGCAGTAACTCAGTAATGTGTATCATGCCTCTGTAATCTCTAAGGCCACTTTCCCTGTCTGCCAGAGTCATTCCTAGCTCATGATGGTAAGATAAAGATCCATGTAGTCAGGAAAAATGTCACAGGCCTTTGTAGTGGTTAGTACTTGCTCAGGTGCCCATTGAAACTCCCAGTGGTCAAATATTTTCTGTTAAGACAAGTAGCCTGGGTTCCTCTTCAAATAAAAATTATAATGACTATTCATCATCAATGTACAGGATGGTGGTGCTCATTTTCTGGAATCAGTATTACTTATGGAGAGAACTCTACTTAATTAGGTTTGTACAAGTGCTGTTTGATTTGAAAGGCAGGCAGGGAGCCAATGTGGCACAGACAGGAAGGGAACTACAAAGATGGCTGGTTCTGTTATGTCTTTAAATTAAATTATTCTTGCCCTTTTCAGCTCTTCTAACAATGTTTTCTCATGTTACCCAAGTGCTTAATACTGCTTTTTTATCTCTAAACACAAATGTGACTTTATTTTCTCAAAGCTTTACTCTTGATTTACTAATGTAAACAAATTCTTGATTGCTTAGTTATTTCAAAAAGCATCACTGTATATTTTCCTTTATAAATCATTAAGTACTTAAAATGCTGATTGATGTTGTAATACTGCATTTTATTTTTAACACAGAAGTTGGCCAGACAGCAAAAATTTTTGCCAGGAGAAACAATTTTGAAAAAGACAAATTGATTTTTGTTGCGAGAAAGTACACAGGGACTTGAATTGTAGAGGCAAAGTATTGTTTTATTTCTATGAATTGTAGACTAATGATTAGTTGGCTTTCAATTTCAACATTTGAACAATATCAGGAAACTCATTTTAAAAGCGATAGTCAAAATAGTTGGTTATATCATTGCTACCAAAGATAAGATGACTCAGTCTGGTCAGACATGAAGAGAGGGCTGGAGACATTATTCAAATAGTAAAGTGTCTAACTAGCTAGTTCAAGATCCTGAGTTACCTGTTACCCTTTCACATATACATGTATGGATGTATGTGTGTGTGTGTGTGTGTGTGTATGATTAGACCTGTCATATGAATGACACTAATATTAAAACAGGTGAATATAAATGATTTCAATTTACTTCTCAAGGTATGTAATTGCTAATGCCATGTATATGCAACTAAGGGGGTACTACAGATCTTGTATAAAAAAACATGAAGATAGATGCTTATTAATCACTAAATAAGTACTTAATGAGAATTAGCTGCTTAGTTCAAGAAGCTTAATGGCAAATAGCGTAGATACACACACTGTAAGTTAGTCATTTAAGATAGTAGTACTGGGCTGGAAAGGTGGCTCAGTGGTAGAGTGCTTGTCTTGCATGCTTGAGGCCCTGGGTTCTATTCCTCAGCACCACATAAGCGGAAAAAAAACCGGAAGTGGCGTTGTGGCTCAAGTGCTATCCTTGAGCTGAAGAGCTGAAGGGCAGCGCCCAGGCCCAGAGTTCAGGCCCCACGACCGGACCCCCCCCCAAAAAAAAAAAGATAGTAGTACTCAGACTACATAGTCTCTAGACCTCCATTAAGGGTCAGCCAACATTTCACGGAGGAAAGAACTCAAAGAGAACCTTAAACCACTATTAGGATTTTATCTAAAAAGTAAAAGAACTCTTTAAAACTATAAGGACTGTTTAAAACTATAAGGACTAATTTATACCCTCAGTGATGAAAGAAACCCCAAGATCCTGTAGGTATAGTATTTTAATAGATGATATTGGATAGAAGGATTACAGTTACCCTCCTTTCTAGAAATTATTTTAATATCTAAGAGTATTCTTTTTTTTTTCTTTTTTCTTTTGGTTATGGGGCTTGAACTTGGGACCTGGGCGCTGTGCCAGAGATCTTTGCTCAAGGCTAGCACTCTTATCACTTTGAGCCACAGAATCACTTCTAGTTTTCTGGTGGTTAATTGAAGATTCTTGCTCAGGATGGCTTTGAACCACAGTCCTCAGATCTCAGCCTCCTGAGTAGTTAGGATCACAGGCACAAGCCACTAGTACCCAGCTGAGTATTCTTTTTCAGTATAGTTCCAAAGACTTATTTCATATGTCATCTTATATTTGTTTTCTCAAACTTAACACACTATTTTATGAAGCAGATAGGACATCATCTGTCTATATTCTGAGTTGGTCAAGGGTTCAGAATTGTCATAGGATTGTTAGTGATGAGAAAATAATACACCTGTATATTTCAGGCCATACACCTGGACTATAGCTGAGCCATTCAAAGATGGCTTGCAAATATGTGGACATTTTACTACTTCTACTTCTACTCTTCCTCCTCTTCCTCCTTCCTCCTTCCTCCTCCTTCCTCCTTCCTCCTTCCTCCTTCCTCCTTCTCCTCTTCTTCCTCCTCCTCTGCTTCATCCTCTTCCTCCTCCTCCTCCTTCTTTCCTCCTCCTCCTCTTTCTGTCATCTTTCTCCTCTTCCTCCTCTTCCTCCTTCTTCTTCTTCCTCTTTCTTATTCTTCCTCTTTCTTCTTCCTCTTCCTCTTCTTCCTCCTCCTCCTCCTTCTTTTTCCTCCTCCTCCCTCCTCCTTCCTTCTTCCTTCTTTCTTCTTTCTTCTTTTTCTTCTGCCAGTCCTGGGACTTGGACTCAGGGCTCAAAGCTAGCACTCTACCACTTGAGCCACAATGCTACTTCTGGCTTTTTCTGTGTATGTGGTACTGCGGAATCAAACCCAGGGCTTCATGCATACTAGGCACACTACCACTAAGCCCCTTCCCCAACCCAACATTTTACTTCTTTAGCTTGTTTTCTAATGTCATCCTTGTGATAAATTCCTGCTTAAGTGAAAATGATTGGATAAATAGAAATACAAAGCACAAGATACATCTTGTTTCAGTTACTATTATTGAAGAGTGAATTTATGCTGTGCAAAGAAAATTAAGTTTTTATAATCAATAAAATTCAGTTCTAGCATCAGAAAGTCTTTAGCTCTGTCTGTCAGTACCTCTGTCTTCACTTTCCCTTACCCCCAGTGCTGGGAATCAAACCCAGGGCCTTACACACTGAGCAACTGCTCTATACTGACCTCCACCCCAGCTCTATAGATGAGTCTTGAAGAGTTCCATAGCTGATTGTATGTAAATATGTGTATCTGCACTGGTACTACTACTGAACTCAAGGCCTGGACATTGTCCCTGAGCTTTATTGCTCAAAGCTAGAGTTCCACTACTTGATCCACTTTGGGCTTTTTGGTGGCTCTTATTGGTGATAAGAGTCTCACGGAGTTTCCTTTCTCAGGCTGACTTTCAACCGAGATCTTCAGATCTCAACCAACTGAGTAGGAGTATAGGCATAAACCACCAACATCTAGCAATAGCTGATTAAAAAAAAGAAGAAATTTAGTGACTGCTTTTTAAAAGTCTTCTCTGAATCAAAAAGGGGAAAATTTCCTTAGAATATTTTTAAAAGAAAATCTAGAAAAACGTATAAAATGAGTCCAAATAAAACTGTTATAAGAAGCATAAAAACATGCTTTAAATTTACAAACTATAAAAGCAGTTTAAAGCGTTCTTTTCTAGGAACTACCTTCATGGTGCTGTATGATAGAGTTTTTATTTTAAATAAATATATTCTGTTCTCCAGGATGTGATTATGCAAGAAAACATATAACGTCCTGTTGAATATAGGCCAAATACATTCCCAGACGCTTTGTTACCCAAATCTTTGGAGAGATTTCTTTATGGATGTT